ATTACCTTTTTAGTCTGTTTTATTAGTTCTAATTAATTTTATAAGATAAAGGCTTTAATGAATTTCTAAAGGCTTAATCACTTTTAATCACTGTTAATGAATCATGAATGGTTTTTAGTTCTTTTATCACAAAAAAATGTTTCATATTTAAATTTGACTATTGAATATATAACGATGTAACTTAGTTACCATTATTATCATAAAACATGTGATATAATACATACATAGCATATATAACTATTTACTTTTGACTATAAAGAAATGTAGTCGAATTTTTGTTACAATGTTTATTATAAAAAGCTGAAAAATATTTCCCGTTACTATTGTTTTACTATCATTAAAAAATGTGTATTTTTGGTATATGTACCTGAATAATTTACAATGTTGAATGTGCAAAAGGTGAGTGTTTCATTTAGTTGTTGTGTATTTATTTTTATATTTGTTGGGTTTCTGTATGTTTATCAAGTTGTATTTTATTGCTTAATAAATTATCAATTATTTGAATAAAACAAGTTGCTTTTATATTTTATCCTGAAAGTAAAGCATTAAAAGTGAAACTAAAGCTAATGGTTCCTTTTTATTAAGGTCTATGTTAATTAACTAATATTTCTAAAAATGTAAAATAACAGCTTAATTAACAGGTGATAATAACATTTAAATTCAACAACATAAAATGTATTCTCAATAAAACTTGATTGTGTAATGAAAATAAAACTGCGATTAATTAAAAGCAGTGCTTTGTCAGTTTATTTTTAAACAACGATTTTTATATGGAAAAAGGTCTGCAACCCGCGGAGCAATCCTGTATAAAGAGTGATCTACATTAGATGCACTAGTAGCGGTAAATTTAAACAAGCGCAATTATACTTATGAAATTAAATGTGTACCAGGCAAGTTTAAATTCTTCAATGTTTCTAGAATATTGAGATATACTACTACTACAGCAGTAAAATTAAAGTACTTTGGCAATATTTTAGAATAGTATCAGCGTTATATACTCAAATAGTAATTATAGGAATACATATATTGACTCAAGTACACCTTCCTTTCATTACGTTTAATTTTTTTGGTTTTCTATTTCTTCTTTTAATTGTTCATTTTGTTTACAAACTGCATTGTATTTGTTTAGAAGTTCACTATAATTTTTTCTTAATTGAATTAATTTATTTATTATTTCGAAAAGAATTGTATCACTTCCGTTATCGACATTAGTGTCTAAATTGAGACATAAATTAAAATCATTACATCGTTCTGTACTTTCCCTAGCTTGGTTTGCCATATTTATTTTTATCTATGACTGAAACTTAAGGAATCAAACATTTATCATTTTTACACGTTGCCAAATGTCCTTATTAATCATCACAGCATACAAATCAACTTTGAAATAAAAATGATATTTATACATTATTTCAATAACAACGGTTACAACTGCTGTTTGTATACATACACCATTTTCCAGCTATGTATAATATTACCAGAATATTTACGTTATATATAATTATAATTCGTTTTACGAAGGATTTTATACATTTGTATTGATCTACATATGAAGGAATGTTGGAAATATAAATAATGGAATTTTATAATTATAACCAATATACAATGTGTATACACGTTATATCCTAGACCTATCTAACTTTCCATTTTTAAAATAAGTTTGTTGTTTACAGTTTATTAACATATATGTACAGTAAACATTTGAAATATATTGGTTATTATTAATTAAAATGCTTACCAGTTTCAAAAATTCTAGGAGACATAACCAGCAGAGGTTCATTGGTGAGTGAAAGCTCAAATTTGATAAAATAAATGTCATCCAATTATCTTCGACATAACAATTTAATAAAACAAGATAGGACAAGAGAAAAAGTACAAAGAAGATAGTACTTAGCGAATTAAAATAAAAAGTATCTTTTATTAGAATATATATATTATTGTTATAACGAGTTTCTAAATAGAATAACTCTTCTAAAAATAGTCGAATTCTTTTCACAAGTACAGCAGTATAGTATACTCCAATGAAATTCAAATATGCTGAAATAATATAAAGAATTACTTGTAAAGAATTTAAAGCTTTAATAGGTATGAAAGTAAATATATTTCGCAACTTACTTGGAATATATTTTTTGTTATCTGTATAAAACGTGTACAGAATTATAGCTAAAATATTGTATGGATAGTAAAAATTGTTAGGATATGTAATAGCTATACTGCATACTTACAACATGTTGTAAGAATAATAAACAAAACGTAGAGAGCAGAAAATGTTGCAGTCCTAGTTCTTAACGCACTATTATTTGAAGATTTTACCATTTTATTTTTTTTTACGATTGCAGACAGAAAAAAAAATCCACAGCAATAAACATTTGACCATAGATTAAAATTGTTAGATACAACTGGATACAACTAGATTATTAATGACCTTGACATAGACCTTCGTATTTATTTATTAAGGTAGTGTTACGTGTCCCAAAACCGTAACTTTGAATTTAGAATTATTTTTTAAAAATTAATAAAAATATTCTTTAAATTAGTAAATATTACGAAGCAAATGTCTTTTTAGTCTCGTGCCTTGCACTATCGAACACAATTTTTAGTTTTTGTTTTGTTGTAATTACATTCAATTTAAACGGCATTGGCTGATAAAGACTTGTAAATAAAAGTCCAAGGAAAGAAATATTGACGGTTGCATACCGATGTTAACCATATAAATATGATGTTGACACGTAAATAAACAAAAATTACAATAAATTTTCCTTAATTATTGACTATATAAAATAAAAAAGAATAAAATTGCAGATATGGCAACTGTTATAGACAAAAGAGAAATCAGAAGACGTCGTATTTTGGAAAATTCTCAAGATCGTTTAAATAAAATTTTAAATATTCAAAGTCAGAAATTGAGAGACTCTTCTGAAAACACAGAATTACTAATAGAAAGTTCTTCTCAAAATTTGAAGAGTGGTATGTTTTTAGACCTGTTGAAATAATTAATGTTGGTGTTTTTATTTTTAGATAAAGGCTTTGTGCTTGATAGTTACAGTTCAAGTGAAAAAGAAACAAACGAAGATTTTGTTAGTAACTACAAAGAGGCAACGACGGGAGCATATATATTTGATAAAAATGTCGATCAAACTACAGATTATGAAGACACTTTGATAAACCATCACTCACAAGAAAAAACTAGATTACAACACAAATCTCAATTTATAAGTTTACATCATGGTTTCATTGTATTTCTCGCCTTTTTGATACGTTATTTGTGTTTAATTAGTGAACAGTATGGATATGTAATCCATATAGACATCTTTGAAACATACTTAAACAAAATTTTTGTGCCAATCTTAATTTATGAAACTGTGACTAGTGTTTATTTTAGGAAAGTAAAAACAGACAATAGTTTCTTGATAGTGATACTGCTTTTAGGGAGCAGACAAAATCCCAACTTGCAGAAGTTAACGACATATATGTATCATTTTCAGTGTATTTTTCAAGATATTATGTTATACTTTTTCTTTTTTGTAGTATTTGATTTAGGAATTAATTTTCTAACGCAGGGTGGAAACTATATTGTGTAGAGTATAATCAGTTTGTAAATTTGTGCCTTATTGTAGGCTTATAAACAAAAGGTGCTTTAAAGATTTTTGTCAATAAAAATTGGGACTTGATTTTTTTTTTGATTTATTATAAACTAAAAGTTAAATAGGTCATAAAAATTAGTTTTCTGCAAAATTTATTCCAAATGCAAATGTATGTATTAATATTTTACATTTAAAAATATTTTTTCTCTTATGTCATTAAAATAATAGCGTAGTTAAAAAATCTACTTTGAATTTGTCCCAAATAAATTAATGAAACATGGATCATTAAACAAAACTATTTGACCACAGTATAAGACTTAACAAATCTTATTATATCCTTACTTATTTCTAAAAGGTCAAATCTTAACTCCAAAAAACTTAAGGTTCATTACTTTCTGATGCCTTCTTTTTGATTCTTTTTGCAAGTTTGGTGCTTTGAGGACTATTTTTAAGACCTTGTTCAATTAGTGCACGACCTCTGACCAGGTCAAAATGGCCCTCTTTAATCATATTGGCTTCCCAGTTTTTCATGGCTTCTTCATATTCTTTTATATTTTTGTTAAATTCGTCTGAATACTTTTGTTTTTCAGATTCACTTAACTGTTTCCATTCATGTCTAAGAGTTATGGCTAATTCATTGTATTTCTCATTTCTTTCTTTTGCTTTTTCTGCAAGAAACAGAAAATAAGGAGCCAGAGGTCTTTTTGGTCTATTAGCATCCCTATATTTCTAAAATAGATGAGGAATTGATAAGATGTGAATATTTTAATAAACACTGTTACCTTTTTCAATCTGATTTTATTCTTTTGTTCAATTCTTTCTTTTCTTAATTGTGATAATTTCTCTTTTTGTTCAGGTGTTAATCTCCCTTGGTAATCTAAATACTGTTTTGAATAAATGTCCATTTCTTGTTTATACTGCTCATTGTATCGTTCTTTGATACTCTCGTGGACATCTCTCCAGTCTTTTGCACATTGTTTTATTATTTCTAGAGAATTAAATTCTGGATGTTCCTTTTTTACCAAAGATCTGTGCTCAGCCAAAAATTTAAAATATGGTGTTAGAGGCTTTGGCGGTTTAGTAGGGAAGCTGGACAAGTCAATGTTCGTTTTAGAAGACAATTTATAGCCTGAATGAGGTTGTGGACTTGCAAAGACTATCCTAAAACTGCCTTTTTTTTTCAGTAATTAATTATTACGTATCAGATATTCATTCTTTTACCTGTTGCTTAAAATATTTTTGTATGCATTAACACAGGAAAACAGTTTAAATGCAGAACTATTAACACTCATTTTTAGCTTTTATCATCAATTTATTAAAATTTTGCAATAAAAACGAAAACCATTCAACGGTTAGGTTATAAATGACCATTGACTGGTAAATATAGTAAATAAAACCCGTAGATAATAATGGTAAATAAGTGTTGCTAACTGATGTGCTTGCTTATCTTAAACGAAAAGTCACCATTTTTGTAACTATGCCACTAACGGTTTGTTTTTGTGTTTATGATCATAGATAGTTATGGTAAACGTCAGTTTGCGAACGTTAGAATTAGTTTAGCAATTATTAATTATTATTTAAGTGATTATTTGTAAATGTCACGTTTTGGGTAGTTTCTTAATGTGATTCTAATTACGTTTCAATGATAAGCTTAAATAGTCAAAACATTTGAAAATATGGATTGCTATGAACGGTGATGTAAGTAAATATTTTTTGAATATTTTTAAAATATTGTTAATATGTGTGTAGAATTTGTTGTGGGTGTTTTTAGTAACGCTTTTAACATTCTTTTTGTGTATTTTGCATTTAATATATAAAGGGTACAATGTTAAGTATGCATTCTTTTCTCTTTTCGTTATTCGTAGGCAAATCGGTGTCAAGAGGTTAAGGCGCACATTTCAAGTTCATATGTGGCAATCCGTTTTTAAAACTAGTTTTAACTTATTTCTAAGCCTCACATAGCAGGTGAATCGTATTATCGCGCTTTCACTTGCATATTTGTACGATAATATGATCCGCTGCTTTACTTTGACGAGAATTTTCACTTTGTGACTTTAATATTATGTTTTACTTTTGATTTCATTGTAATGTGAGTAAAAAGTCTTTTTTTTAATACTTTATTGATAAAGTGCTTTTGTATTGTAGATCTTTGCAAGTAAATTAAAAAGACATGGCTTTGAAGCAAAATAACAGTGATTTGATATTTATCAGTAAAAGTTTAATTGCTGGAGGTAAGTTTTTAAAGTAAATAAATCAACAAGCTACATATATGTATTTAGGTATTGCTGGTATGGTGTCCAAAACAACAGTAGCTCCTTTAGACCGAATTAAGATACTTCTGCAAGCTCATAATCGACATCATGCTAGCCATGGTGTATATAATAGTCTTCGTCATATTGTTGAAAATGAATCAGTTTTTGCTCTCTATAAAGGAAATGGTGCTCAAATGGTTCGCATTTTTCCTTATGCAGCTACTCAATTTACAGCTTTTGAATTATACAAGAGATTTTTTGATGGAATTTTTGGACCTACCTCTCATTTGGATAAGTTTTTTGCAGGCTCCTGTGCTGGTTTAACAGCAGTAGCTTTAACATATCCCTTGGATACGATTCGAGCAAGGCTTGCATTTCAGGTAATCTTCGTTTTAAAAAAAGGCTATTCAATTTTTACATAAATTTTATTTTAGATAACTGGTGAACATATTTACACCGGTATAGCCCATGCTGCTGCTACAATTTTCAAAGAAGAAGGGGGCGCCCGAGGTCTTTATCGAGGTTTTTTGCCTACATTGATGGGGATGGTTCCCTATGCAGGCTTGTCCTTTTACTGTTTCGAATATCTTAAGTATGGTTGCATGAAATATTTTCCAAATTTAACTTGCAAACCGTGTAAAAAGAACACAGGGGGCTTGGTGCTTATGGTACCTGCCAAATTAATTTGCGGAGGGTTGGCAGGGGCTGTAGCTCAAAGTGTAAGTTACCCCTTGGATGTAACAAGAAGACGTATGCAATTGGCTCTTATGAATCCAGCAACGAAACATTTTGCTACAGGGATGGTTTCTACTCTTGTTCATGTATATAAAGAACATGGGATTGTTAACGGGTTGTATAGGGGTATGTCTATTAATTATATGAGAGCTATTCCTATGGTAGCTGTTTCTTTTTCTACTTATGAATTATGTAAGCAGATGTTGAACTTAGACACAGGGTTAGAACTAAAAAGTTCTGCTTAGTTAAGAGAAAAGTTGTAGGATTGTTTTTGGATATATTTACCTTATTCCATGTCCTTTTAATATTTATTTTCTGGCTACTATGCTTTAAAAACTATAATTGATTATTAAGATATTACCTTTTTAGTCTGTTTTATTAGTTCTAATTAATTTTATAAGATAAAGGCTTTAATGAATTTCTAAAGGCTTAATCACTTTTAATCACTGTTAATGAATCATGAATGGTTTTTAGTTCTTTTATCACAAAAAAATGTTTCATATTTAAATTTGACTATTGAATATATAACGATGTAACTTAGTTACCATTATTATCATAAAACATGTGATATAATACATACATAGCATATATAACTATTTACTTTTGACTATAAAGAAATGTAGTCGAATTTTTGTTACAATGTTTATTATAAAAAGTTGAAAAATATTTCGCGTTAGTATTGTTTTACTATCATTAAAAAATGTGTATTTTTGGTATATGTACCTGAATAATTTACAATGTTGAATGTGCAAAAGGTGAGTGTTTCATTTAGTTGTAGTGTATTTATTTTTATATTTGTTGGGTTTCTGTATGTTTATCAAATTGTATTTTATTGCTTAATAAATTATCAATTATTTGAATAAAACAAGTTGCTTTTATATTTTATCCTGAAAGTAAAGCGTTAAAAGTGAAACTAAAGCTAATGGTTCCTTTTTATTAAGGTCTATGTTAATTAACTAATATTTCTAAAAATGTAAAATAACAGCTTAATTAACAGGTGATAATAACATTTAAATTCAACAACATAAAATGTATTCTCAATAAAACTTGATTGTGTAATGAAAATAAAACTGCGATTAATTAAAAGCAGTGCTTTGTCAGTTTATTTTTAAACAATGATTATTATATGGAAAAAGGTCTGCAACCCGCGGAGCAATCCTGTATAAAGAGTGATCTACATTAGATGCACTAGTAGCGGTAAATTTAAACAAGCGCAATTATACTTATGAAATTAAATGTGTACCAGGCAAGTTTAAATTCTTCAATGTTTCTAGAATATTGAGATATACTACTACTACAGCAGTAAAATTAGAGTACTTTGGCAATATTTTAGAATAGTATCAGCGTTATATACTCAAATAGTAATTATAGGAATACATATATTGACTCAAGTATACCTTTCAATAAGCAAAACTTCTCAATGTTACGTCATACTCGAATTAAAGTGTATAAATGAGTAAATAATATTAGCTGGTTTAGTAACTATACAAGTAGTATTCGTAAATTCTGGTAAAGATGGTGCAAATTTATTTTTTTATTTGATATTAACAAAATCTATAGTTCAAATATTAAATGCAAATAAAAATTACTCACAAGACAAGAAGTTAATTATTGGAAACAAAGTTACAACCCTTATTGTAGTTCTGTTTCCAACAATTAAATTTCAGAGGGGAAGATGTGATTAAGAAGAAATTAATTCAAATTATAATATTGAAATAAACTAAATTAAACTTTAATAACCGATTTAACATTATATAGAGTTCTATTAATAAAATTTTAGTAAATGCACTGTTGTACTATACATATATTAAATATACGTATGTACACGATTTTTAATAACAATTTAGCACGTCCTTGATTTCGAATCTGATTATTAATTCCATGGTTCTCTCAAATTTACCAAGAACTGTCGTAGATTACCTTTTATTACGTTATATTATCATTGTGTAAATATAATTTTGATCGATTAAAAGAAGTACAATAATGTTTTTATTATATTGAGTTAAATATATTACTTTTTGGAATCAACCTTGTATAACTTAATGTGGTATATAATAAAAATTACGCAATAAACATACAACACACACAAACGATATTCTTAGTACCAACACGTGGGTTTCATTAGCAAAATTGCAAACTGGTTGAAATAATTCAAAGTTCTTGCTAATAAATGCAATGTACCTTCAATGTTAAATGATATTATGACAGGTACTACAACATTTTAACATTAATTAGCATATAAACACCTCAAGTATATCTACAGTAAAAAGTCTTTAGCAATTATGTTGTCTCAATAGTTTTCCTAAAAAAAAAAGGAATTCTAATTGGAGGCAATATTATGAAATAGTACATATATATGAGAAGAGTTTGCTACACTGAAAATCGATACAGGTGTTTTGTTTTTTTTGAAACGAATAAGTAAAATAAAATTAATTTTTTGGGATTTAATCAGAATATCTTCATAAAACGAGGAAATATTTGGGGCTACGTGATTTTGAAGATGTACGCATCGAAAGGGTGCGGTCAATGATCGAGAAGTAGCGTTGGCGTGTTCGTAGGGGTCACCTTCATCTTTAAAGCTTCGGGAGCTTTTTAGTCAGTCAATGTGATTTCAAAGCCGAACGTAGACCGCAGCTCGTTAGTTGTTCATTTGATCGCGAATGTAGTAATTGTTGACTGATTGTTGCACTTTTATCAAAACTGGCGCGAGAATCAAAAGTTTAAAGAGTTACTAATATCATTTCTTTTAAAATAAACGTTTATCTAACTGATCCGTTGATTTTTTATTTTATTAATTGAATGTTATTTGAAAGGTACGAAAATAAATAAAAAGGCACTTAAAGTAAAACAGAAGACAAAAAAAGTTAAATTTTGTTTTGCAGAATTAAATAAAAAGGACTATGTCAAAAGGAAATAAAATTGTTAAAACTGTAGGAAACCCTTTGGAAAGTAAGTACCTTTAATTTGTATATTTTTTTGTATTTTGCGACTTCTGTTCCATTATATTATACAATTTATCTACTTACGGCTTCAAACTACTGTTATAAAAGTTTTGTGGTCTAAACACACTCACTTTTCACTTAACATATTTTTAGATAAAGCATGTGTTTAGTGTATTTCCGGTGCATATCTAAATATAATACACACTTTCTTGTACAGCCGGTACGCTCGTGGGAAAACAGACACGTGCAGTAAAATTTGTTTATTTCAATAACCAATCAGATTGGAAAAGTAATATTAATTATGAAAATAGAGTGCCAATTGTTTATTGTTAGCGTACAATTTACTTATTTCAAAAAGACTTTCGAACAATCGGCATTGGCTGATAAAGACTTGTAAATAAAAGTCCAAGGAAAGAAATATTGACGGTTGCATACCGATGTTAACCATATAAATATGATGTTGACACGTAAATAAACAAAAATTACAATAAATTTTCCTTAATTATTGACTATATAAAATAAAAAAGAATAAAATTGCAGATATGGCAACTGTTATAGACAAAAGAGAAATCAGAAGACGTCGTATTTTGGAAAATTCTCAAGATCGTTTAAATAAAATTTTAAATATTCAAAGTCAGAAATTGAGAGACTCTTCTGAAAACACAGAATTACTAATAGAAAGTTCTTCTCAAAATTTGAAGAGTGGTATGTTTTTAGACCTGTTGAAATAATTAATGTTGGTGTTTTCATTTTTAGATAAAGGCTTTGTGCTTGATAGTTACAGTTCAAGTGAAAAAGAAACAAACGAAGATTTTGTTAGTAACTACAAAGAGGCAACGACGGGAGCATATATATTTGATAAAAATGTCGATCAAACTACAGATTATGAAGACACTTTGATAAACCATCACTCACAAGAAAAAACTAGATTACAACACAAATCTCAATTTATAAGTTTACATCATGGTTTCATTGTATTTCTCGCCTTTTTGATACGTTATTTGTGTTTAATTAGTGAACAGTATGGATATGTAATCCATATAGACATCTTTGAAACATACTTAAACAAAATTTTTGTGCCAATCTTAATTTATGAAACTGTGACTAGTGTTTATTTTAGGAAAGTAAAAACAGACAATAGTTTCTTGATAGTGATACTGCTTTTAGGGAGCAGACAAAATCCCAACTTGCAGAAGTTAACGACATATATGTATCATTTTCAGTGTATTTTTCAAGATATTATGTTATACTTTTTCTTTTTTGTAGTATTTGATTTAGGAATTAATTTTCTAACGCAGGGTGGAAACTATATTGTGTAGAGTATAATCAGTTTGTAAATTTGTGCCTTATTGTAGGCTTATAAACAAAAGGTGCTTTAAAGATTTTTGTCAATAAAGATTGGGACTTGATTTTTTTTTGATTTATTATAAACTAAAAGTTAAATAGGTCATAAAAATTAGTTTTCTGCAAAATTTATTCCAAATGCAAATGTATGTATTAATATTTTACATTTAAAAATATTTTTTCTCTTATGTCATTAAAATAATAGCGTAGTTAAAAAATCTACTTTGAATTTGTCCCAAATAAATTAATGAAACATGGATCATTAAACAAAACTATTTGACCACAGTATAAGACTTAACAAATCTTATTATATCCTTACTTATTTCTAAAAGGTCAAATCTTAACTCCAAAAAACTTAAGGTTCATTACTTTCTGATGCCTTCTTTTTGATTCTTTTTGCAAGTTTGGTGCTTTGAGGACTATTTTTAAGACCTTGTTCAATTAGTGCACGACCTCTGACCAGGTCAAAATGGCCCTCTTTAATCATATTGGCTTCCCAGTTTTTCATGGNGCTTCTAACCTTTTCTTTTCCGCCGCGCCCACTGTCCATGTTTCGCACCCGTACAACGCCGTGCTCCAAACATACACCTTTAACAACCTTTTTCGGATTTCTAAATTAACCGTTCCGTATATTTTTGATAAATTCTTTGAATTTTTCGTCACATTCAAATCACGTAAACAGTAAAAGAATGAAGAATTAAAGCTATTCAGGGTGAAACCATTTATTATTAGAGTATTGGTTCAGTTGTGATTCGACAAAGGGAACATATGGATACTGTAAAGAAGTATCGTTTGGTACCAGAATGGTACAAAATTTTTAGTTACAGATACATGCAATGTCATGTGCAAATTTACATTATTATTAAATTTAATAAGTGTAGTTTTCATCAGAACTTGAATAATAAAAAATCTAAGTGATAAAATTGAGTAATTTTAAGATATCTGTTATTCTATGACAAATGTGTCGACATAAGATACAACTAGGTTTGGGATCCCCCAGTGGGCTTCCCCGTTCCACTTTCATTGTCATTATATTTCGTAATTCTTAATGACAAATACAATGTGTTACATATGCCCGCTTGATGTACGAATCACAATTGCAACATTTTGTGTATGTAAAATGGTTTTTGATCGATTCGATTCGCGTCACTGGCAACATAGAAATGAAGCAAAATTACAAAATGCGAAAGAAAAACCTGTAGCTTCATGACCGAGTTCCACTTAATGAGACACGTGGGGTAGATGAACTTGATATACTGAAGCGGCTCAAATATAATTCGCGTTTTTACAATGTGACCCAATTTGCAAACTGCCAATCTCAAAACAGAAATTGGCCAATTACTTTTATTCTTTATTATCGTTATTATTTGGCACAAGATCCCTTGTTGTTATTCAAAATAGCCACATAAAAGAATAATAAAAACCAATTGAAAGAAACATTTGATCCTTTTTTATTGTTTGCGGGCCAATTGCCTAATAATAATAATGGTTTGAATTAAAAATGAATTGAACTGAAGATTAGCAAAGCATTTGTAAAACTTATTCATTTGTATGTTAAAGGAATTAAGTTTTTTTTCAAATATTCCTGGGAAACCAATGCTGTTTCTGATATTTATTATTCCCAAGAAAAAGGTAACTACTAATTATTTTTGAAGATGGTAGCCTTTTTCCTCAATAGATCATTACAATGTTATGGCAACAAAAAAAAAATTAACTTTCCATGAAATATTCTACATATATATTGGGATCCGTCAAATGGGCATATACCATCTGGTGGCAAAATTTATAACTCGAATGAGGGAAAAATTTACATAGGAACTGTGCACGCAAATTGTAAAATTGTTTATTAAAATAATAAAACACGTTAAAAAAGTAAAAATTTTTTTGATGATGGAGTCGACGAAGTTTTCTTCTAAAGTTAAATCAAATAAAAAGTTAATATGTTCAGTGAAAAGCTGCAATAGCACTTCAGACATAGATCTTCACTCTTCACCTACATTAACTACTTTCCAATAAAAACTAACCGTTTTATATATGTAAAAAATATATTCGGAAAATTAGAGAAAAAAGTAAACTAATAGAAGCTTGGATGAAAGCAGTAGGTATCAAAGAAGTGAATTCCGGAATAAAAATTTGTTCACGTCATTTTAATGCACATGATTATATTTCAGCAAGTATTTACCATCAGCCATAACCTTAATATTTAAAACTAGAATCATACTAAAATTATAAAGTGAGAAATTATTTATTCCTGTGTAATTGATTTAACACAATTCTAATGATACGATATAAGTATTTTGAGGTTAAGAACCTACCTGCTGCAATACAACAAAGTTGCAATAATGTGTTTGCAACGTTCTCTTAAATCGGCTTTGCACGTGCAAGTCATTGATATGATATTGCTTAAATCACCCAGAATCACCTCACCAATTATATAACGTGAATCACTTTTTAAATCCGAAGTTTGTAAAAAGTAGGCAGTAAACTTGACGGAATTTGAAGGCTAGCTTCCGGATTTGTTATTTCCGAATTTTATAATGTGATTGGCATTAAAAACACGCTCACCTTCAACGAAATTTCCTTTCCGAGGCTTTGTGTCAGCCCAATCACATATTGTGTCAATATTTATCATTTTATCGTAATTTAAAAACTTGGAAATTGCACGGTACACTATAGGAACTACGATAAATTTTCCCTAATCGGCGCCATGTTTTTAGGCTCCTCCCATTTGACGGATCCCAATAGTCATGCCTTAGGTATTTCCACTATTATTTTATTTTTACAATCACCATGTCATACGTACCAACCTTTAATGGTTTAATTCTTTAAGGAATACTTAGATACATTTCATTTATGATGGGAGTGACATTAGAATTGCAAAAAATTTCAGGATGGTCCCTTCATCTGGTCGACTACTGAACAAGGTACTATGTTAAGCGCTTATTTTTGGGGCTACTTGGTAGCCCAGTTGCCCGGAGGCAGAGTCGCAGAATTGTTTAGTGCCAAATGGGTCATGTTCTTCTCGGTTGCCATTAATGTAATTTGTACTTTGCTTACACCACTGATGGCTGAATTACATTTCGGGGCCATGCTTACTATGCGCATACTCGAGGGAATCGGAGGTGGTGTCACATTCCCTGCAATGCATGTCATGTTAGCCCATTGGGCACCCCCGTCAGAAAGAGGGACCATAAGCAGCATTGTTTACGCTGGTACCGCATTAGGGACAGTTGTAAGTAAAAATAGTTCAATGGACAGACTTCGTATTTTATTTTTCTTTTTTTTCTTGTTGTCACGTTTCACATAAAATGGAGCAATTTTGTTAAAATTAGACGCCATGCCGTTGTTTTTGAAAATAGAGTAATAAAACTCATTCTTATTTATATTTTGGATACAATCCCAATACCATGGTGGTGATTCTGTCACATACGTGCGTTTTAATCACTAGGTACAGACTTTCACGGGCTTTTTGTCCATTTTTATGTGTTTTTGCTGACGTTCTTTATAAACGGCGCGTCTATTAAAAGCGACGTCTATAAATAACTATCGCGTATTGAACCGTTATTAATTATATACGAGGTCGCTTAAAAATTAGTTGAACAAACACAAAATTATCGTAAATAATTCAATACTTCTATACGAGGTTTTCAATGAAGAAACTGGATTTCCGGATTCTATTTTGTCTTATTGACGAAATCTCTTGTATTGGACAACTACAGTGTCGTGTTTTGGCGTTTGGGTTTGAGCTATTTTGTTTGTTCTACAACAACCGCCAAAGTTTTTCCAATCTTCAGAAATCACTTGTGATAGGAGACGAACGTCACCAAGATTCCTCATGGGGAATTCATCAATGAGATACGGTTATAATTTGGAAATCCAGTTACTTCAAACGACAGCCGTGGAAGCCCAAATCAATTTCTGGGGTTTGGTGTAAAGGTGGTTAATTGTATGACGATGTCTTCTAGATTCTTATGTTGGTTTCGGGTGTCATTGCCGGGGGATATGGTTGGGCCGCTATTTTTTACATCGAAGGGGCCGTGTGCGCCATATGGTTGATTTTGTGGGCCGTTTTTACCGCCGACAGTCCCAACGAACACTGGCTTATCAGTGAAGAAGAAAGGGAATATATTAATTCATCTTTAAATACCGGAAAGGGCAGCAATTCTGAAGTAAAAATGACTTAAAATACGTTTGATTTTGAAGTGTTTAACGATATTTAAAATTATGCATTAGAAAAAGAAACTTCAAGTTCCTTGGAAAAACGTATGGAAGTCGTTGCCGTTTTGGGCTATTTTGGTTGCACACACATGTTCGAATTGGGGTTGGTACATGGTCCTTATTGAGCTCCCTTACTACATGAAAAGCGTTCTCAAATTTAAAATCGCCGAAAATGCAGTTCTCACTGCACTGCCTTTCTTTATCATGTGGATATTCAGTATAGGACTGAGCAAAACTCTGGACACCCTTCGAACAAAAGGAAAAATAACTACCACCATTTCACGTAAAATCGCCACATTGATTGCCAGCGTTATTCCAATGGTTTGCTTTATTGTACTGAGTTATATTGGATGTAGACGTCTTTGGGCCACTGTGTTAATGACCGTAGCAATAACATCCGTTGGAGGAATGTTCTGTGGCTTTTTATCAAACCATATCGATATTGCGCCCAACTTTGCCGGAACCTTGGTGGCCATCACCAACAGCATTGCTACTATACCAGGAATTGTTGTTCCTGTATTCGTTGGAAAATTAACCGCAACAGATGTAAGTATTTTTTATTTTATAGAAGTCGCCATTATTTTATGACAAAAGTTGTCCCCATTTGTATCACAATTATAAATGGTAAAAGGGACACTGTGGTCATCACCCAAATCTATTCATTTAAAAATTTATGATTTTTTATTATTATTATAGCCCACTATAGCCTCATGGAGAATAATATTTTGGACAACTGTTTGCTTATATGTCATTGAGGCCATAGTATACACCGTTTTTGGTTCGGGAGAAATGCAGGATTGGAATAAAGTTGAATCTCAAAATAATGACGACGCCGAAGGGCAACCCCTAAAGTCGTCCAGTAATCAGAGTTACGATACAGCTGACAAAACTTCAAACGCAACCCTTGAAGTCAAATAAACGTAAGAAGGCTTTTTAAACATAAATAATAATATTTATTCATGTTGTCGATGTTTTTAAGTGTGGAATATATTTCGGTATAAACGTTATTTTAAGAGAATTAGGTATCTATTTTATTATATTTATCAAACAGCATTTTTTGCAATTATACTCGCATTTCTCTATATGCATATACATATTTTTATGCTTGCCAGTAATAATTTATTATTAATTTTACCTTCCAGTACAAAATGCTTTAAATAACGATTGTGCAATATAAAAATATTTTTATTAGATTCGAAATCATGGTTCAAATAAGCCCTGAAGTCAAAATTCGTGCAATCACTCACCCGTTTCTTTTTCGGCCTAGGCATTTTATTAAAATAAAAAACAATAAATAAAAAATGTCAATAAATGCTGCCACATATGCACAATTTATTTTTATATTACGTCTTAAAATAAATTATTACGAATTTATGTAGAATGTGTAGGTAATTAACAATTTTAAAAACTTGCATAATATACCTAATTAAAATTACAGTTAAGTGCATGAAAAGACTAATTTGTGTCTATTTTGACCTTAAAATTGTGATAAATATATATAAAGAAAGAAATAAAAACAAGTTAAGTAGGTTAAATTAAAAATACTCTATGTCCAGTTGTGCTAAAAACGATAATATGCAATTTAGACCCATTGTACTTGATTTTAATGTATACAAATGCAAAGTGTTATATTAAATGTCTTATATTTGTAGTTTATTTTCTTTTTACCTTTTTTGTGGCAACGAATGACTTACAAAATTGAAAGTGTGATTTATTTTCGGATAGAGAGACATAAAATGGTAACAACAGACTGATGGCGCTTTTTCTTATAATATTTTGAAAATTACAAAAGCTGTTTTTTTAAATTCATTTGATAAATTTTATAGTGATGTACTTTACACACAATACATTTTTTAAAAGATTTTTGGATTTCAATATAGACATCTAAAATATTAATAAGATGGCTAAATAAATTTGATACTTATAACCTGTCAAATAAAACAAGAAGAATAACCCTTGCCATACATAACCTAGAAAGTGTAATATAACCTATTCATTTAAACGTCAAAGTGCTATATTTGTATCAACATTTTTAGTTAATTATGGAAAGTTCAAGTACAAAAACACCAACATTATCAAAAAAACAACAACAGAAATCATTTTCATTCAAAAAAGCTAAACGAGAAACAATTAAAAATTTAGTAACTACTCCTTACGTTAATTATTGGTAAGTTGACGTGTCTTTGTAGCCCTGTTTGAAATTACATATTTGTTTAAATAAGGCCCATTATAAAGGGAGAAGATGTTGATTTGTTAGTAGCATCTCTGTACAATCATCTTAAATTATTTAAAACTCCGAAATTAAAAATTCCATGGAAACTAATTAAGGATGTCCCAGCAGAAAAACGTAAGGAATTTCGTATAAAATATAACGAACAAGGAGATAATAATGATACAATGGTCGTTGACAAGTAAGTTTTATGTTAAGTTACAATACTAAACTAATTAAATTTGATTTCAAGAAAAAGCATAATTCTTGGTGTCAATAGTATTACGCAGCATTTAGAGCAAACTGCCCTTGCATCTCTACTGATATCAGACGATGTTAAGCCACATTTAATGGTTAGACATCTTATAGACATGAGTGTTATGAATGGTATTCCTGTGCTAATAGTTCCTAAATTGAGAGAAATACTTCAGGCAAAGCTTGGAATAAAAAGTGTTGCTTTTGGATTAAAGAAAGATTTAGAACAAGATTCTAACTACTATTTGCTGAATGAGAAAATAAGAAGTATATATAATAATTATCCAGTTCCTGAAGCCCAAATAAACTTCCCAAGACAAAGACTTTTTGATTCAGAAAATATTGACACAACTGCAGAAGATCTAGACCATAATTTAAGTTTGTCTTCAACACCCAACAGTCAGGATGATGCATACCATGAAGAGAGTGAAATGGAGGTTGATGAGAAACCACCGCAAGATATTTACCTTTACAGAAAATCAAAAAAGGAAAGAGTTTTTATACCAAATAGCATTGTAGAGGTAGAAAAAAGTAATACTTTAGATTTTATTTCTTTTGATCGAGAAAACAACGAAAATAATACATCTGAACAAAAAATGGAGACGTATGAAATTGATACAGGAGTAAATAAGAAAAGGCGCGAAAAATATCAAGGATTAGTTGTAAAAAGGATAAAATCAAATAGTGAAAGAATGCAGAAGAAAATCGAGGGCATTAAAAAGAAAAAAATGAAAAAAAAAATTGTAATTAAAACTTAATTTTAATGTTAATTCGTAATTTAAAGAATATCTTGTACACAGGATGTGCATTAAGAATGTTTTTTTACAAAAAAAAAATTTCAATACAATTTTTGATTTTCAAGACCTTTCATTAGCAATATTAATTCGTTTCGCAAAAAAAAAATAATATACACAATCTAAAAAACAAAATTATCACACATGAAACAGCATACTAATTACTTAATTCTCTGTATTTTACAAAAATATGTTGGACCATAATTCTGATGTGTACTGGGCAAAACTACATTGCCATATCTAAAAATATTTGCATCCGCCAGTTTAAACACATCTTGAGTCTGAGCAAGTGCAAAATTCAAATTCCTATAAATTAATAAAGGAAATTGTAAAACTGAAAAATTAATTTCCAAAAGTAATTGACTGATACAATAATACAATTAGATTGTATATGTCTCGAGTTTTAATTCACCATTCAATTTAATTAGAAATTGTTGAATAAACTATTTGGAACTTACTTGACAACAAATTCCATATTACTATCCTCCCAAAGCTCCTGTAAGGCCATATACACAACACCATCATTTTGTACGGGACTCAAAGAACATGTTGAATATACAACTATGCCTCCTTTCTTGACCATTTTTAAAGCACTCACTAACAGTTCAGTTTGAAATTCAGGTAATTTTAAACGTTCTTTTAATCTGGTTGATTTGAAAATATTATTGTCATTTTCCTTCACTGAATGTCTATCAGTCGTACATGGTACATCAACCTATAATTAATTGGATTTTTAATGTCTGTAGAGATAAATTTAAAATTTTGTGATGCTTACTAAAACTCTGTCATAATATTCACCGCTGATAAGTCTCCCATCATTCTGTGTAACTTTAATCCGTTTTGTTTTCAACCACCTCTCCTCTAAGTCATAAAAATATTCTCCTAATACTTTATAGATCCTATCAGTTCTCGATTTTGAAATGTCATTGCTAACAACACAATCTGGATATAATGTTTGAAGTGCTATAAAACTTTTACCACCGGGAGAAGCACATAAATCCATTATTGTATTGCCAGGTCTTATATCAAGAGCCAACACAGGAAGAACAGAACCCCCATCAAGAATATAATAGTTGTGAACACCTGTAGAACCTTTACGAGGTTGAGTGAACTTATTTCCACTCCCTTCAGGAAAACAATATACATTTAAATGTTCTGGAAAGTTTAAGTCATATTCTTTTTCTACAGGAATATTGAAATCTCCATCTTCTTTACAATATTCATAATATTCAGACTCCAAAACATAATCTTTGTCTTTTCCTTTGATCTGTGTTGCTGGTATAAACTCCTGAAGAGTATTTGCTGAGAGTCCTGCAGTACAGTCTATGTACCTTGAATCATCGTAATTTGCATGATTTAATTTGTAGTTCAACGATAACATTTTATATTTGTCAAATTGCTCATTAAATTTTGTTTCTTCTTCTGAATGTTCATTTACACTGTTTACACTTTTATCTAGTTCTTTTTCTAGCTTCCAAATTTTTCTTAAATACCTATCACGTTTCAGTACATCATAATTCTCTTGTAAATTTTGTTTTCTTACATTAAAAAGAGCTCGCATATTTAAAGCTCCACAGTTTTCTAGTGTAGATATAACTTGTTCTGTATCAGAATAGTTATTGATTACAGCCACATATTTTTGTTTGCCCAATAATCCCTGTCTTACAGAGGACCACTTGTTTCCAAAAACTTGAAGATAAAACTCATCAAAATGCTCCAAAGCCCTATCCTTGGGCAAAATTTTCTGGAAAAGGGACTTTACTAGATGAACTCCAAAACATAATATTTAATATATTTACCCTTTGGGAACATTTGTAACGCACGAATACATTTTGTTTTGTAGCCAGTATCTTTAAAACTTTATAATTGTTCATAATAATAATATCTTTTAAATATTTTGCATGAATTACTTAATGCATAAAGTAAGGTTATAAATAAAACGTCAAGACGATGACGTCACTTGTGGAAAAACTACTGAGCTCAAGTAAAATATAGATCGATTCACTAATGAACTTTATTGAAATATAGAATATTTGAAACTGAGCTATTTGAAGGATATGTCGCAAAATTAATTGACAGTTTGAAAGTATATAATTTTATTACACTCGAGAGTTATAATTTTCATTTTTTTCAAATTCTACTGAATGATTTTAGATAAAACTGAAACTTTAGGAACATTTTTAAAGTACCTGTTACAACATATTCATTAAAATCTACTGAGGAAAATTTTGTCTGTTTGCGTGTTTCTCACCTTAAATCAACACGCAGACAGGCAAAGATCTAAAATTGCTGAAGAAAAAGGTACGTAATGCGCTACTGACAATGTTTCTATTCAAAAAACAGTATAAACAGACGCTTCTACTTCATCGTAAGTTTCCGCTAGTATTTAGATTTTCTTATAAATATTTAGACACATCAAGTAATAGTTATTGGGAACAAACTATGTAAACTGTTTTTCTTTAAGTAAAAAATAGGAAAAACCAACAGAAAAATATTTCTTGTAGCAATTAGCCATAACATGTTTAAGGAGTTCGATGAATATGAAAAGCTTTTTATTAGTTAAACGTAGTCAACTAAAAGTAACTTATTAGCGTTTTCGTTAATTAGGATTATTTTCCAAAAGGTTCACATATACTGGTCGTTGACCAGATGCCAACGATAATACCTACGAGCTGCAAACAAGATAGCATAACCGCGATCCTAGAATACAATACACACACAGTGAAGATAAACAGCTGTGGTTTGGTATATTGAACTGTAGCGGAACTTTGTGGCATTCTACTACTTTCTAGTACAAATTTTGGATAAAAGTGGACCTTTATAAAGGTCCGCATTGATAAAAAAATTCAATTTTCAAAAGTACCTGAAGTAAACATACGTGTCGCGTAGTGTGTGCCATATTTTTAAACGAAAAAATGAGTTCGTCATTGGTTTATCTATCGGAAGAAAGAGTTCGTCAATTGTTAAACTGGGATTCCACTTTCGATGCGATCGAGAGAGCTATGATGCGCGTTTCTGAACGCCGCGCGGTTCAAAATCCGCGCACTTTTACTATGATTCCACATTCCGGAAATTTACTTTTAACTATGCCCGGTTATTTGGATGACTCTAAATACGGAAGTTTGGGATGTAAATTAGTAACTGCTTTTCCGGACAATGTGGACAAAGAAGCCCCTTTACCCAGTATTGTGGCAAATATTATGCTACTTGATGAAAATTCTGGGCAACTAAAAGCAGTAAGCACATTTGTAAATTATCAGTTAATTATTATCTTTATCTTTATTAAATGATTGGTAGCGTTATCTACCTTTAAGTATTCCGGAAAATACAACTCTGCAATATTTATACTCAAAAATATTCAGATGCAAGTGCTTTTACCTAATATCAATGAAGTAATTAAAATTAAGACAAACAGAAAAGGATTTTTCTCAAGATTGCTTCAAAAATTTTTTCAAAAGAGGTGTAGGCATTTTCATATTCATCTCATGGGAGCTTAAAGAATCTTGTGCAAAGAAAAGTTTTGAGTAATTGATTATTTTCATCAGTTGTATTAAAAACTTACTTGCAGTTCGGATTTCGAATGTAAAGGGTCATTTTAGGAAAAACATTTGATTTATTTCATTGTACCTAATTTAGGTTGTAGCCGGAACAGAGGTGACAAAATGGCGTACTGCAGCTGCTTCCGCTGTGGCAACTAAATACATTTTGAAAAATGACGTCGTTGGTAAAGATCAAATTTTGGCCATTATTGGAGCCGGCGAACAGGGAAAAATCCATGCGATCGCTTTTCAATACTTTTTTGGATTCAAAGAGGTATATTTCAATCTATTTCTAAATCGAAAACGACATAAAGTAATTAGATACAAATTCTTTTTGTTTTTCGTCTTCATTATTTATTGAGAGTGTAAATATGCATTTCATTTATCTGAAGATTTATGGGCAATTTAATAGATCAATAAAACTGACGCTAGCAGAATTTTCGAGAGTTTCTCTACTTCTTTCTTTCTCAGCCATCATTACGGAATTATGGATAATTAAGAAAGAATTGAATACGGAAAGGGCTTCTGAAAAAATACTACTTGTATTATAATTCATGAATATTTTCAGTTGGTTTCGGGTGTCATTGCCGGGGGATATGGTTGGGCCGCTATTTTTTACATCGAAGGGGCCGTGTGCGCCATATGGTTGATTTTGTGGGCCGTTTTTACCGCCGACAGTCCCAACGAACACTGGCTTATCAGTGAAGAAGAAAGGGAATATATTAATTCATCTTTAAATACCGGNTTATTATTTTGTTTATATTAAGAACTATCAACACTCATAGTGGCTTTATACTTTTTGAACTATGACTACAATACCTACTCTTTATAATTTTCACCCCTTTTTGTTTATTTGACAATTATTTCCAATTTTATAAGAAATTTTGTAACTCCTGAAGAAACCACAATGTAGGGAAACACTTATCATCAATTGAATTAATAAAATCCTATGTGGATTTCAGTGAAGAAAATATATACCTAAATTTAGGTTGTAATTGAAAAGTTGAACATTGTAAGAGAAAAATATTGAAATTTTAAGGTTCGTGTATGGAACAGAACCATTGAAAGAGCAAATCAGCTAAAATCTGACCTTGAACAAACAGAGGGTTTCAAAGGTAGGATTACGGTCCACGAGAATGTGGAAAGTTGTGTGAAAGATGCGGATGTAATTGTTACCGCTACATTTTCGGATTGCCCTCTTGTTAAATACGAATGGCTAAAAGAAGGAGTACACATAAACGGTAAGTACTTTCTTCATATCTGTTTACTGTTTGTGTGGAATTACGTAGAATGTATGCGATGATATTTGCATTTCGCGGAATATTTCTTGATATAAATCAAGGACGGAATGCATTTTTTATTCTACCATTTGTCACTTGTCATTTTTACAAAAAAGTAAAACTAAATTTTCGTATCCAAAAATCCAGTTTTTTTTTCATCACATTAAGCAGAAAGAAATAGAACATATAAAAATGGAACCGGCAAGGAGTTTTCATCAAAAAGAGGGTATCAATGTTATTGCACTGAGAGAAGTGAGACGATTCATTCGCGACTGCTTGGTTGCGGTACAAACGCCAAAAGAACAGGCCCATTTGGTGGCTGATATTCTGACCGAAGCGGACTACCGCGGACACAGTAACGAAGGGATGAACAAATTGGAGCAATTCATAAATGACATCAAAAGTGGTTATTACGATTTAAAGGCGAAACCGAAACTCCTCAAAGAATCTCCTGCCGTGGCCTGGGTGGATGGGTGCAACAGTCTGGGACCGGTAGTTGCAGAATTCTGTATGAGGCTGTCCATAGCTAAAGCCAAAACGATGGGAGTTGGTTGGGTGGTATGCAAAAGATCGAATGATTTCGGACTGGCCGAAATTTATTCGAGTTTGGCCGCCAAAGAAGGTCTTCTAGGATTTTGTTGTACAAACGCTGCTCCAATTATAGCTCCAACAAGGGCAAAAGATCCGGTGCTAGGATACAATCCGATAGGGGTTGCTGCGCCTCCTTACGAAAACGAAAATATCATCATGGGCATTTCGCCAACATCAATGCCATTTGGAAAATTCGAAATGAACAAGAAAACTGACGAAAAGATACCTCCTTGTGTAGCAGGAAATTGCAACGGTGTATCCACAGAAATTTACAAGGAGGCGCACTTTCTCTTTCCTTTAGGAGGAACAGAAAAAACATTTGGGTACAAAGGTTACGCACTTGCTTTGTTGGTGGAGCTATTTTGCGGAATTTTGGCCGGATCTGCTTACGGTCCAGATGTTGGTCAGTTGGACCAAAATCTGAAGAAAGAAGCTAACATCGGTCAATGTTTTGTGGCCGTGAATCCTAGTTTCTTCGCTCCGGAGTTCGACCAAAGGATTCAAGATTTGCAAAAGTACATTAGGAATATGGAGCCCGTTGACAAAGACAAGCCCATATTAATTCCGGGGGATCCCGAGAGAGAACACATGCATAAAGTGAACAAAGACGGGGGTGTCGGTTATCTAAAACATCAAATTGATGCTTGCGGAAAGTTGGCCCAGAAATTAGGTGTTAGACCTATTTGTACGATCACGGGCAGAAAAATACTAAAGCCCAAATTATAAATCGCATATACGTAAAGAAAAGGAAGCTTCGAATCTGCTTAATGTGACAAAACCTTTCCTGGTATAAAAATTTCAAATCTTCAAAAAAAAATATTCCAAAGTCATAGCTCATCCTTTCTTTCAAACCATGAATTTAATATCGGACCGAAAACCAGAACGAAGCAATTTACAGTGTGATAATCTACATTTATTTACCAAGGTATATCCTGATTTAATGCCCTTATATATAGTCTGTTTGCACTTGTCGTTTAGGATTAGTTTGGTTATCTGTAAAGCTCTTAATTCCTTCACGTTGATACTAAGCGTAATTTTTGTAATGTGTTGAGCTACAAATCGTCTTTAAAATCTGTTTTTGACGGTGATGATTTTGGCTTTAAGTCAAAAAGTAGTGGTGCTCAGATTTTTTCCCGATTTCCGTCGGCAATGTTTGAACTTATTTTACGTCAAAGTTAATGGCACACAAACAGCGAAACGTTTTGTTTGACAAATGTACACAGAAAGCAATCATAAATAATGTTTCTTTTGTTGAAAATTACTATCACTGCTGTGATAATTTAGACTCTAAATTGGGATTTGCTAAGACTATGGTTTGCACGAAGGTATCTCAATTTTCGCCACTATCTTCGTATTCCTTTTAAATGGTGTTTTCAAAAGAACTTTATTGTATTATCAACTTCATTTCATCTGGAGAGAACCCATTTCCCGTTTCGTATTGTTTCTCCATGTGTGACTGGCATTTATGTTAAAGTCTAAATTCTGCATTATCTGGAGCACGAAAGGAAGGTCTCTAGCAGCCACATTGTGTGACAATTCCTTTGGGAACAACCAATAACTTCCTTTATCTCCAGATCCTTCGGGAAACTGATATAAGTTATCATAGAGATAAATCTACTTTAAAAAGGAGGACAGTATTATAATTCTGTATTCAAAAATCAGGTTTCTCATTTCCAAAAACTGACTTTCTTATTGTAGAAAAAAAAAATATTTATATTTTAAGTATTCTAATTGGAACAGTTATTGGAAACTGAATTTATTTTCCTTTGAAGAGAAATTTAATATTTAAATTTTGTAGCGGTCGGAGCGGGTCAGAAACATCATTCAGAGTTGGAGGAATCGATATATTTGAACGCAGATGTTTTTGTGGACTATTTGGCAGGGGCTAAAAAGGAGTTAAGTGGTCTTGAAAGAATTAGCGTTAAATTTAAGGGAGAGGTGGGCGACATCATCACTGGAATGCTTAAATACACTGAACCTAAGAAGATCACAATTTTCCAAAGCTTAGGTAAGATTTGTAGTTTCAAACTTTGCATGCCTACAATTTCTGGCAGTTTCGAAATTCCTTATGGCCGCTTTACAGCTTCACAGGTAGAATATATTAAATAATAATAAATATAATATTCCCAGTAGATAAAATACATTCCTTTCAATTTTTGAAGCACTTTACTTCAATATTTTATAAAAAAAACCTTAAAAAACCGATACACTGTTTCGGTTATTTAAACACTCTTGGGCATTGTGAACAACAGAGTAATAAAATAAAACATTTCGTTCAGTTTAGGTAGAAAAATCGTAAAAGGCTTTTTTCGGTAATTTAACCTGCTCATTCCTTCAGGTATGGCTGTCGAGGACACTGCCATGGCTCGTCTACTTTATGACCTGCACATGAAAGAAATCGAGGAGGCTGACAATCAAAAAGACAAAAAATAAGTGAAAGATGCAACAGATTATTTTTGTAAACTTATTTTATCACTACTATTACGAAATAAAAAAACAAAAGACGTAATAAACATTGACTTAATTAGATATTTATTTTTATTACTGTCTCTCTTACCTTATCGTTCCACAAGAATTCGTTTGGATGGGATCGTTCTGGCATTACATGTGCACTTTTAAAGGAACGGAGTTGAAACATGTCGAAATATAAAATTCAGAAATTGACGAAAAACATTTTATAGGTAGGTATATTAGTTTCACAAAGAATTTATTTAAAAACTCTTATAGTCGTTTAGGACATTAGTGGTTTTAAATAACAATAATATTTAAGTATCAAATTTTTTACCTTACTCCTTGAAAATTGTTTAATTTCTAAAACAATTGTCAGAGTACTTTTAAGTTCTTTGTAAGACTAATGTACCAAGTGTTTTTAATATCTGAATTTTATATCGATTTGATGTTGTAAATCCACATTTTATACTTTTAGGGGTGGTATTTTGAGAGTTCATTTTATAGTGGATAATATGAGAAACTTGCAATTTTTGATACAATTTTCAAATTGTAATTTAGGAAATCATTTAATAGACAAGAAATCTGCTTCGTGCACTAAAACTGCGTTGCTTTCTTTGTAAGTCTTTTTTAAGGATGTTTGGGAGGTACAATCGGAGACAAGAGTACATAAAATTAGAAATTCATGATTAATTAGGTTTTGCAGCGTATCATGAGGTACATAAATACTTTCTAAACTAAAAAAAAGTATTCAGTTTGACAGAAAATTTGAAATTTGATCAAAAACTTTGAATAAAATAAGAAATAACGAATAATATGGAAAATTTTTAACTGACTTTTGGCAGTGAATATGCCTTGATTTCAACTTCGAAACAAAAAAATATTTAGTTTCAATCTCTATTAATAATGAGCGTAAAACTTTTTAATATGTTTAAATAATAATTAAAACTTTAAAATTGCATTTATTTCAGACAATTATAAATATTATCATTATATTATCAAGTAAAAACGAGATTTTCAGCTAATTTTTCATTTTTTCCTCGATAACCATTTAGTGAATTTGAATAACCTTACGCTAAAGTGATTCTCCAGAGTTCAAGTTACTTATTATAAAAGTTTGAAATTTCTGGTAGCTTTTTTTCTGTTAATAAAAATAAATTTAATCTGTTCGGTTAACGAATCTCCATAAAATGACGTGTAAAATTACAACTTTTTAAAATTTCAATAACTTTTTAACGGTTTAGTGAAACGATTTGTAATTTTTACAGGAGTTTTAGAATTGAATGAGAAACGTTCTTCCAATTTTTCATTTGTCTCGTAGCATTTTAACATACCTCCCAAACATCCTTAAATAAATTTTCTGTATCTAATCTAAAACTAAAAGCAGTACAAAAACACATTATGTTTTTGTGAATGTTTGAGAGCAACTACGAAGAAATATCAGAGAGCTTGTTGTACTGTATCTGGTTCAGAAAGAAAAAGATTCGTTTTGTTTCTCGCAGACACAAGAGAAATGTGAAATGTCCAGTATACACCACGGAAAAGTTCTTTCTACTTCATTTCATGCATCTTTCTGTGTTTGAAAAATACATTCAGTTTTCCGACGTTACTTTTTCTTTTGATGACATAAAAATTAAGGTAAGGTGATACTTAATTTATCCATGTGGTAAATTATCACAAAGTATAACGGTCGAATCAATCCAATATTTTCAGATAATTCGGGTTTTCACTCTGACATTTTGTCTATTAAAGCTTTTGTTCAATTGTGTTGCCGACACTTTTTGTCGTTTGGTTGGGTTTTCCAGGATTTTATGTCATTACTACTTACTGCAGTGGTGTTGTCGAGCCGGAACGCTCCGGAACGTCGTTCCGGTACTTCTTTTTTGGACAGGAACGCTTTCCGGAATTAAAGATGATCTCTGATAACGAGAATTGGCTGACGTATTGAAAAAAAAATTATAAAGAATTGCTGATTTTTTTTTCTAATTTTTGACGAATTTTTGTATGTATTATTATAAACAAGGGTTTGAACCGAACCCGAACCGGAACAAAAACCGGAACGAACCGGCTTGTTTTTCCGAACCGTGAAAATCGGGCGAAAATTAGGGGAAATCCCCCTTCACCCCCCGTCGTCGTCAAATTTGGGACATGAGACCGCACAGAGCGGCCGCCTACCCAGGATCGGCCCTGTCTATATAATTATATATACGCGTTCCGGTAAAAAAAAAATTAGCACAACACCACTGACTTACTGTAATACATCGAATTAAAATTATTTCAATAAAATTAAAAACGAAAACGGCAAAGGATCAAGTTAAATCTTTAGGGCGGAAATTACAATTGTTTACTTTTCTTCTTCTGCTTTGGTCATCATTTAGATCCGCACTCTCTTCACGACGCTACAATAATCAGATGCATTAGCATCAGCATGGTAAACAAAAAAGCGTTGTTTCATCTAATTTATAATTTTTAAAATAAACGAACGAAAATATTTCTTAAACGACGATGTATTTTTCATTTCTTTTTTTCATGTTACAATGAATTGACATCATGATATATTTATCTACTCTATCATTTTAATCTAACGTACATATTAGGTAACCATGAAAATCTATCTGAACGTTTATTTTTAACTTGGTCCACATTTAAGAAAGAATAAGTTACAATTATGAATTTTTTCAAACAGGCAAAAAAATCCTAATACAACTTGGTTCTACATTCTTAACACTAGGTAAAATATAGAATCAAAGAAACTTTTTCTTTCAGTAATAGACGCATTTGATGTTTTAAAAAAGGAATTGAATTAATTAATATTATGCCAGTGCGAATGTCTACCTAACACGTTTAATTTTCTTAATTTATCATTTGATTTTGTGAACATTTTGTCATTCTCGTGCTTTAACATGACATAGAGTAAGTAATAAATTTAAAGACGCTTTTGTAGAATCCATCTTCTATGGTAGTGACCTTTGTGTGCTCCTAGAACCCCTTACTATCCCCAGCAGTTCAAAAAATGATTTAGAGATACCGAACATGATAACATTATCCCAACGATGATATTGTTTATATTTATTATAGTTAGAACGTCCAAAATTGTTCAACTGTCGCATTTACTTTCTTCTTTCAACGTACTAACTATATTACAGCGGTAGCTGACAGAGGTCCTACTTTAACTCACGACAGACGATACAGAGAATATCGTAAACATAGAAAAGAGAGGTCAGATAAGAATTGCAGCGGACACTAATAAAGAAAAAGGAATAACATTAGAAAGAGATGCAAATAAGCAGAATTTGAGCATGCTGCATCGAACATTAAAGAAAGTTAAACAATTTCAGGAATTTAGGAAAGCAAAGGCGATTGTTAAGAGATATAATTCCAACCAGGCAGTTATAAAGTCGACCTTGATACCTAACCAACTCCTAACCGCTGCAAAGCTTTTATTATTCAGTTACTTTTTTCCACTTTATATATACTACTCATGCAGTAATTCCTAACTTAATAAGGGCGTGTTCAAAACGAAGCAAAAGAATACATTTCCAAATGGAAACAAGAAATAAGAAATGTCCACTCTCACACTCTCTCTCTTAAATTTCGTACACCCTTGAAAGGTCTCTGTATTGTACTACCCTGTTGTATATCCACCATAAATAAAATAGACAGTATTTTAAATAATAAACACACAGAAACGTTTGTGGATCATCTGGTGTTTCTATTATTACTGGCAGACATTTTAAATCAATTCCTTTTTTTATTTAGATACCTAACAATAAACTAAATTTTCTATCTCTTTTAATTAGAAAAATTGCAGAAGATGAGAAACCCTTAAAATGTAAATACATAGACATGCATTGAGCAGAGAATGAACATTTTAATTTCTCCCTTAAAGTATATTATCTTAAATACAAGACCATGTTTCCTAGCATCAACATTCGTGTATATAAATTTTAATTCAATTGGATAACTTTTTATTGAAAGTACAAAATCAAAAATTTTATTTTCAGTTCCTTGAGGGGGGTAAAGATTCGATACTTTCAGCAAATATTGACAAACTTCTGATTAATAGACTTTGCATATTTTATATTCATAGAGGAAACGTGCCAAAATTTTTCGAATCCAAATAATCGAATGCACAAATATGAAAGTTAAAGTTTAACTTAGTCATATCGAACGTTTTTCTATTGCGTAACTTTCCTCCTGAAATTAGATCTAGCCACCCGAGATATAACTTCAACCATAAAAGTCCTCATGTAGCAATAAATCTTTCTATAAACCAGAAATTAGATCGCATTTCTCGTTTTTATTGAACGTTTCATTGTAAATTTACCTCTCACATTTCCATATTTATTTAATTTCAACAAGCAACAATGTACACGCAAGTAAAATAGGTACTAACTATAAAATGTATGTATGCTCTGCTACATTACTTATTTCGATTACAAAATTCTCTCAAAATTGAATTAAAAAAGACATTCTATTAGATTCTATATTCTAGTGTTTAGTATTATTTTAATCCAATACTAAACAGTTGATGCAGGAAATAAGAACCTTTTTCTTATTGCTACTTTTCGTTTTATAAGGTTATGTTCTTGTAATCTAACGTTGAATGGTCTTCCGATATACAATTGCAATTAATTGTAATTTTTAAATAAACCATGAAATCATTTTTAAATTCATTTCAATAAAGATTATTATTTTGTTTATATTAAGAACTATCAACACTCTGAGAAAGAAATGCTATAATCCTAATAAAGAGTTGAATTGTAACATACTCCTTCCGTACTTTATTGGACGTTTTTAACTTTATATTTTTACGTTAATTATTTATCGTTAACTTGTTTGACAAGTAAAAACTGTTTTGAACAGGATTAAAAGCATCTTTTTACTTTATAAAGTCTATGTAACACATTTACTTTAAGTACTGTCAATTTAGGTGAAAACAAACGATTAGAATAAACAAATTTCAATTTACCCGTTTATGGCACTCGAGTCGTTTGTTTCCATTGTCGTCGACAGCACTTTTAAAAATGTTTTATTAGTACCCGTTAATGTTTTAATTAATAAAAACGAAGTAGGTTCCATAACGGTTCTACGACATTAATAATAGAAACCAAAAATCGTTTAGACGGGAGCAACTCATGCAGAAATGTAATATTCCCTTTTCTGGATGCATTTTTCTCGCATTATATAACACAATGCGATTGTTATCAGGACAGCTATTGTGATACCCATTCCTATGCTGACCCATATTATTTCTTCGTTGATGCCTTGATATGATCGTCCTGTAATTAATTAAATCTTAAATATGAAAGGATACATATTCGGAATACATAGAATTTAGAAATGTGTATCAATGAGTTTATGATGATTTATAGCATGATTTAGTATCATTTGTGCGAGCCGAAATCACCTAGGTGTGTGAATTAATTACCTTGGAATCGATGTATTTCTACCCTATTACATTTGCCATATTCATATCAGGGTGGAGGATCCGGTGAACATAATCATATATCAAATTAATAAATTTTTGATGAAGGCCCTCTTCAGCCTGCTTTCAGGAATCGTGGGAATGGGTGGGTGGTGGTTCGGGTGAGAAAGTTGAGACGGACAAAATGAAGACAGAAGAGAATAAAAGATTATCTGTGGAATATTACTGCCCCAGCATTTGCCTAAGTGATCCAAGGAAACCACAGAAAAACTTGGACCAAGGCAAACGGACCCGGAATTGAACCGGCGTCCTCCCGAAAGCTAAGCAACGGTCTAAACCTCTAGGCCATGCCGCTCGGTAGGTCTGAGAATCGGCCAACATCTAAAGTGAATTGATTTTACCTTGGAATGTTATAATCGATATCTCTTTAGTCAATTACAATTTCTATATAAATATCAGGGTGAAGGATCCGGGGAACTTGATCATGTATCATATTAATGAATTTGTCATAATGTCGAGAATCATAATCAAGCATCATTTGGGCAGGTCAATGTCACCTAAGTGAATTAGTTACCTTGGAATGTTACAATCGAAGTCTCTACTCAATTACATTTTCTATGTTAAATTCAGAGTTAGGGATCTGGTGAATATCATCTACGTGGGTGAATCATATATCATATCAATGAATTGGGGATGATGTAGAGAATCATAATCTAGCATCGACTGGGTGAGTCAAAGTCACCTAAGTGAATTATTTACTTTGGAATATTATAATCGATGTCATTCTACGCAATTACATTTTCTATGTTAATTTCAGGGTGAGGGATCCAGTGAATATGATCATATATCATATTGATTAATTTGTGATAATGTATAGAATCGTAATCAAGCATCATTCGGGCAACTCGAAGTCACCTAGGTGAATTAGTTACCTTGGAATGTTATAATCGATGTCACTCTACTCAATTACATTTTCTATGTTAATTTCAGAGTGAGAGACACGGTGAATATGACCATATTTCATATTAATTAATTTGTGATGATATAGAGAATCATAATCTAGCATCATTTGGGCGAGTCATAGTCACCTAAGTGAATTAGTTACCCTGGAATGTTATAATCGATATCTCTCTATCCAATTAGAATTGCTATGCTAATTTTAGGGCGAGGGACTCGGTGAATATGATCATATATCAAATTAATGAATTTGCGATGTTATAGAGAATCATAATCTAGCATCATTGGGGCAACTCGAAGTCACCTAGGTGAATTAGTTACTTCGGAATATTATAATCGATGTTACTCTATTCAATTACATTTTCTATGTTAATTTCTGGGTGAGGGACACGGTGAATATGATCATATATCATATTAATGAATTTGTGATGATGTAGTGAATCATAATCTAGCATCATTTAGGCTAGTCGAAGCGAACTGTGTGGATTATTTGCCTTAGAGATTGCTCTCAACGCATTCACATTTGCTATGCCGATTTCAGGGTGAAAAGTTTGGTGAATATGGTCATGTACTGTATCAATTAATTTGTAATATTGTACATAATCTGGTGTCATTAATTAACTAGGTAAATCAGCTTTGTTGGAATGTATTAATGTATCTATTAATTATACACGTCATGATAATTTTATGGCGAGAAATCCTTGGAATATAGTCATGTAGTACCTATGCATGTTAACAAATTTATGATGATGTGTAGAATCATAATGTAGCATCATTTGGGCGATCCGAAATCAACTCGGTAAATTAATTACCTTGGAATGTAATAACAGATGACTCTGTATAGATTATGATCTTACAATAGTAAGATATTTTTGACTTCTTATTAATAGATTCAATATAGTTCAATACTTTCTGAATCAACCAGATCATAATGTGACAGAGTTTCTCGAAAGTTTCATTCAGTTTCACTTGTTTGAAACTTTTCCTAGCCGCCTTGCTACTTGCAAACGTAAAAGAAGCTACATATGATTATTCTTTTTTGGTACAAACGTTTCGACATTCATCTGCCTGTCTTTTTAACATAAAAATTCAATAAGCCCGTTTGACTGCAAACGTGATGTGCAAGAATATCTCACATGAAATAGTTCTCTTGTCTGTCGACCAATTCGGAATATAATTCAGACAGTGATATCGGATGATATAAAAGGCAGTTTTACATTATCTTGCTTTTGTTTTCGCTGTTATTGATTGTACGTCGTACATTGTACTATTACGGAGCACCTACCACAAAAGGTCATATATCAAAAATAATTGCGGATTGAAAAAAATAAATTGCAGTTACTGTTTTGGTGGATATAAATCTACCCATATATTATCCAGTTAAAATCCATGCAAGAAGCTCGCTACAAAATGTAGCAATTTAAATTTTTATGAAGCAAAAGATGTTCCATTTTATACTTTTAGGGGTGGTATTTTGAGAGTTCATTTTATAGTGGATAATATGAGAAACTTGCAATTTTTGATACAATTTTCAAATTGTAATTTAGGAAATCATTTAATAGACAAGAAATCTGCTTCGTGCACTAAAACTGCGTTGCTTTCTTTGTAAGTCTTTTTTAAGGATGTTTGGGAGGTACAATCGGAGACAAGAGTACATAAAATTAGAAATTCATGATTAATTAGGTTTTGCAGCGTATCATGAGGTACATAAATACTTTCTAAACTAAAAAAAAGTATTCAGTTTGACAGAAAATTTGAAATTTGATCAAAAACTTTGAATAAAATAAGAAATAACGAATAATATGGAAAATTTTTAACTGACTTTTGGCAGTGAATATGCCTTGATTTCAACTTCGAAACAAAAAAATATTTAGTTTCAATCTTTATTAATAATGAGCGTAAAACTTTTTAATATGTTTAAATAATAATTAAAACTTTAAAATTGC